GGGGGGGGGAGGAGGAAAAGTCAAACAAAGCTAACAAATGAAAAAAAAAACGAAAGAAAGAAAGAGTTATAATGGGCCAAACTAACGTGAAAGGCTTTGGGCTGAGTCAAAGTAAAAGAAAAAGGGATTTTGACGGGTCAAGGGTTAAGGTAAAAGCCAAAATACAGAAGGATAGTTGGGAAAACATTTTGGTGCCGCAAAAGAAGCCATTATTTGTTCAAATTTTAAGGTACTATATTCCACTAATTTGAGAATATATTTTAATTGTTAGAGTTAGATAATGAGATTGGCAAAAGTCAGTGGAACAAGGAAAGATATGTAAAACTTTTGTTAATCTTTAACAATCTGTGGAGGAGTCATGAATGCTTATAAAGCACTTTGCAGCAATTACTGTTCTTGCTCTCCAAATAAATCGAATTCTTATTCATTTAGAGATTTCAGTACCAATGTAAAGCTCGATATAAAAATATGTTTCGTCTTCCTTTCGACTAAAAATACGCCTATAAGGAGTTACAGAGAGTCAATGGATGTATCTCGAGAAAATATAAAATAAGATAGGTGAATTGATGATAAAATATAAAACTCCGAGGATTGGGTATCCTAAATTAGTAATGAATTTAACCCAAATGAGGCAATTAACACGAGATCGATGTTGATGTGGTTATAGATTGATTGGAGAAAGTCATAAGGATCGCTCGAGGTGACGAGTTGGTATTTCACACGAGTATTATGAGTAGTAATCTTACCACAATTTGTGTTTTCATAACTTGCATGGTTTATATATGATTTTGAAAATAAATATGTTACCGATGCTTTAAAATGGCATGTGGGACAAGTCATTTTACTTGATATGGTATTAAACAGTTTACTTGAGATTTTTACCAGTTAATCTAATATTTTTACCGTTACTAGATATGTTTTACTGCTATTTGAGATGTTATAGTTATTTAAATTGTTCTGACTGTTACTAGGCATGTTTTACTCTTATCGCAATTTGTGTTTTCACTGTTACTTTGAAAGAAATGATATGCCCTTTACTATTTTGAAAATGCTTTCATGTGAATATTTACTGTTTGTAAAGAAAAGTATAAATGAGAGAAGACTTTGAAGGATCCCGTAGCTAATAGCGGGTTCGTTAGACCTGGTGCACCTTGTAATTACTGATTACTGAGTACAGTTATAGCCCTCGCTAGGAATGTAGAACTAGCATACAGTTACAGTTTTCCCTCGATTAGGGACCTACAAATATATTTGACTCCTTTTACGAAGGGGTCCACACAGTGATACAGATTACATGATCCTTTCTTGGCAACCTCCCAAACATAAAAATTTGTTATGAGACAGTGTTTACCAAGTTTATTACCGATTTGTTAAATTGATTTATGTTAGAGGGAACACATGAAAAGTCTTATTATATTTACCGTTTTAGAAAGGACATTCTTATGATATTTTATGTTTGATATACTAGCATATTTTCTGCCTTTTCCACAATAAAACGGTTGTGATTAAGTGTTATTACTCACTGAGCTAGCGAATCACTCCCCACTATTATTTTTTTTTTACACAGACAACAGTTGATGCAGGCGAAAGTTTTGTAAATTGGAGCGCGCAGGTTATACTTCTTGGTGAGCCCCGCACTCGTTCGCGTGGGCGAAGAGTTTTATTTATTTGCTATAGTCTTTTCTTTTGAACTCTTAGAGTTGCTCCATCGTTATCTTATTAGTGTCGTGAGTATTCATTTGTTGATATGGAGTAGTTACTAGTATTACACTTTCTTTCCGTATTTTTAGAGTTGGTTTTGGTTTTATTATGTTGAGGAGGTTAGTAATATTGGTGAAAACCCGTTTCAGGTTAGTTAATGAAGATTGTAACTGATTTATGTGAATATTGGTTGGTTGTTACTTGTTTATGAGACAGAAAATTTTTTGGATAGTCCAAAAACAGAGAAAACTCTATCCGTTTTTTCTGTAAAATACAAATAAAGCTTACTTGGGAGCACTTGCTCCTAAGCGTCGATCACGATCCTAAATTGGGTCGTGACAAAGTTGGGGCACCCATACTTATGGTCATTTGAAAATCTAGTGAACGGACAAAATGGTCGTACTTTTTTCCTTTAAACTATCTCATGCATCAATAATTCAAATTATAGCTCAGAATTACATAAAAGAAAATGTGGCGAATTTTCACGTAATTTGAAAAGATATTGCAACAACAAAAACCAGTATATCCCACTGGGGTCTGAATAGACCATTGTTGAGAGGGAAATACAAGACAAATCAATGTTGCCATTTAATATAACCCAAATGGCAAATTATCTCTACCTTGTTGAGATGGAGAAGTTATTTTCAATAGATCATCGGTTCAGGAAAGCACAAACATCACATTAGTGAAGAGAAAAATAAGAAGGGCAACAACGAAAATTATTGTAAAAGTAGTATAAAGTAATTTGAAAAGATAAAAGCATAATTTAAAAGATGTCGTTCATATAATATTCAATAACATAGTCATCTCACAACTCAAATTTTGGAGACACTTAACGACATTATTTGGAAATCATACTTGGGGAAAGTATTTAGTTCTTGTCCCAAAATAATGGTAAATACTTACAAAATTTAAACATATAACTCTCCCAAGTAAATGATATCTTTTGAAGTGATGCATACTCTCGTCAAAATATTTAAATCGTCAGTTCTTCTCAATCCATGCAGATCATAACTCAATACAAAATCATGTTATTTGATAAAACAAACTCATGGGTTAATTAAGGGCTTAAGGCTCAGGGGCGGAGCTAAGGAACGAAAGAGGTTTATTACAAAGCACATATAAGATTGAATTATTTTTATTTTTATATATTAGAGGTTGAATCTTGATCCTTCACAGCTTCACGTATTTACTTTTAAGCTTTTTGAATTCTCCGGTGAAAATTCTACCTCCGCCGTTGAGTTAAGCCACCGCAGTAAAGTCCCGTGTGCAAGTTATTGGTAGTTTGGTCGTACGTAAAAAAACACACATATATATACACGACTTTTTTTCCGATCCAGATCGAGGTATCTTGATAATTTTATGTAGTGCATGTGCCAGTTTGATAAACTTATTTGGCTAGTGGAAGTAAACAATATTTACAATTAAAAAACGTGCACTACTAAGTCATATAATAGACTACAGAGTCATATGATAGAAAAATTAATTATTAGCCATAATTGAGTTTGTAATAATACTCCGTTTGTCTTCAAACCTCTATTTTCAAGTTGAGGTGTATTAGGTTACACGAGTTGTAATCTCATTTGTTTTAGTGAAGTTGAAGTTAAATTATACGTGGTAGATCGTAATTTTTGTAACTACAAGCTGGATGATTTTTCACTTTAAGTTGATGTTCTTTACTTTTATGTTGATTTTGTTTAAACACAAGTAGTAGAATAAAGAATCAAGGTCTTTAGTAATTTTGGAGGGCACTCAAATTAATATTTAAGAAATTAGTCAAATTAAAATATGATAGACGAGATAAGTTCAGCGATAAATTCAGAAATCTAGGTTACGGTGCATGTGATTGATACTTAAATTGTATATACTCGTCATTCAATAATGAGCATATATCTAAAATATTATGTTCGGCCCTTGTGATCCAGATTGAGGACACAATTGAAATCTTTATCATAATTTTAGGTAGTGCCTGTACTAGTTTGATTAATGTTTTGGCTAGTGGAAGTACAAAATATTTACAATTAAGAAACGTGTCCAAATAACTCAGAAGAATAAAATATGACTGAGAAAATTTAATTAATAGCCATGATTGAGTTTGTTTGTCCTAGAACGTCCATGACTTCTCTTTTTTCCATAGTCCAAACTATGCTTCGCCTTAAATATTAGAATTTTAAATTTTTCTCTATTTTGATACGAGAGAAAGTTAAGTCGTAATATTTTTCATGA